AAAACTTATGAAAAAATTTGTAAGTTAATTTTTACTATATATCATTATAGCAATATCTATTGTAACCATATATTTCGAATTATTTATTATCATTCTCTATTGACACTTGTAGCAACAAATACCCTACTTTATTAATTATTATTCTTATTAAATTAAATAAATCAGTAGCTACATACCAGGACTATGTGGTCTAATGGTACTCGGGTTGGACTTCCATTTGGAAGGTTACGAGTTTTGTGTTTCAGTAGGTGGTTGAGAAAGTATATGAACAGATACTATGTAAGCCTTTATTCAAAAACAAAATTCATTATAAAAAAATTAAAAATAGATATAATTTCATTAATTATATTATCTTTATTTTTTACAATTTAAAGATTCCATACCTTCAAATTCATTAATTAACTATATTCACTACATTGTCATTGTATTCTTTTTACAATATATTGTAATTAAATATAAAAGTTATAATACAAAATATGTTATATATTTATTTACCAAGTATTTTATACAAATATAATAAATATTAATATTTTGTTCAATACTTTCACATGATAATCTACGACACACATCTCACAACACATGAAACATGTAGGAAAAAAAACTACCATGGCCAAATATCAACAAACGCTTGCAAAATTTAGAGTTCATAGTACAACTAATACCCCAATCATATACACAGCAAGACAAATCTAAAACTTACTACACCATAATCTCATTGCATGACGCTACCCTTTTTGCTACCACCAATAATCCAATTGCACATGACAACTACGAATAAAAAAAAAAAATGATGAGGACAAGTATTGAAAGTGAAGACAATGACAATGCTACCCAAAAGAGAATAAAGAAAACCTAGAGAAATTTAATCGAAAGTAGTATTTATTTAGACTATCATTTTTAGATTAAGTATTTACACGAGCGTTAAAGTTGCAAACATTTATTATAGTAACAATTATAATCAATCTCTCATATATTATCTTGCATTTATACATACTTTGAATTACTGATTTAAATAAACAAATTTAACATTCAATTACCTATGCATTAACATCTCCGACCTATATATAATCTTGCATTGATATACTCCGAATTACTTATTTTAAAATAATCATTAGGCATTATATCTCATTCGCGTAATGCGCGTGAAAAAATTAATTATTGTATAAAATCGAACTTTTCAAACTCAACACATGGTATACATACCCTTTTTGAGATTTATTTATAGTTGAATTTGTGCATATTTAATGAACATATCTCTTACTGTGGGGTCGACATGAAGTTAATTAGTGATGGTTTTATTGGGACCGGGTCCACCATAAATCGGGTACAGGGATACAGAACGGGATAGGGTGCTAGGCCCAAAACGATGCATACAAAAGCCAGAGGTACAGTCCCCAAAATAGCGACCCAAATACAAAGAACGAGGCCCACAGGGTGGGCTATGGCTAAATGAGGCCCACAGGCCGGGTAGGCTATAGCTAAATATGCTACTTGCAAGAATCGAACCGATGTGGCTGGGTTGAGAGTATAAGATCAAGACCACTAGACCGTAGTGCTTGTCGTGTCTGAGTTCCCCTTCAGCTAAGGATCCGGGACCCCTATTTATAACCTACCCCCTCCCCCCCCCCCTCCTGGGCCTACACGTGCCCCACATGCTTTAGTCGCCACTCCCTCCTTTTCCGTACGCCAATCCGCACGTTCACCATGCTTTCGAAATTCCCGTGCCCCTTACACGCACCCTGCACATGCACCCACGGCCGCCGGCCACCCCGCGACCACCTACCCCCCCCCCTCCTCACGCCAAACCTACCCTCCCCCCCTTTCCGGTCCATGCTCTTCACCCCGGCCCACCATGCGTGCTTGTCTTCCTAGCCCAACAAGACTTGGGCCAACCTCTTTCTTTCACCACCCCCACTTGGGCCAATACTTTCCCAATAAAATGGACACCCTAGGGTCCCATATCCCCATCACAAGTCCCCCACTTCTTTTAGGTATCTTGATGCCTAAAGGAAGTAGAATTCGGTACCACCACCTCCTCTTTTTCCCAAACTCAATTTCTAGTTCTAACTTTTCCAGGTATTTGTCGGTTCCTGCCACCATCGTGCGCTACTGCCACATGCCACACGCCTACGGGCCACACCATTACCGCGTGCCTCTGCCGCACATCGCACGTCGCATGACCCGCTTCATCACTATGTGTCGAGAGGCCAAGATGACTCCTCTATTGTCGCTTCTTGAATGCTTCTATACCGTACATCTCCTTTGTTGCATTTATTTAGTCTACGTTTGTTGATTTCTCCGTACTGCACTTACATTTGAATATAACTAATGGTTGTAGGATGGGATAGTGCGGGTTGCAATAACCCACACGCCCCATCGGCCCAAAAACCATGCGGCTTGCCGGGGGTAAGTCCGCGCATGTGGGTTGCGATAACCCACACGCCCTATCCGCCAACACCATGCGGCTTGCCGGGGCAAGTCCGCGCATGTGGGTTGCGATAACCCACACGCCCAATCCGCCAACACCATGCGACTTGCTGAGGGCAAGTACGCGCATGTGGGTTGCGATAACCCACACGCCCCACCTGCCAACACCATGCGGCTTGCAGGGGGCAAGTCCGCGCATGTGGGTTGCAATAACCCACACGGCCCATCCGCTAACACCATGCGGCTTACCGGGGAAAGTCCACCGCGCATGTGGGGTGCTATGAACCACACGCCCCATCTGCCAACACCATGCGGCTTGCCGGGGGCAAGTACGCGCATGTGGGTTGCGATAACCCACACGCCCCATGCGGCTTGCCGGGGGCAAGTCCGCGCATGTGTGCTGCGATAACCCACACGCCCTGTCCGCCATGGCCGTAGGGCCAGCATGCATAGCACATAGGAGCACTTAAGAGCACATAGTTGAGGCGGCCGCAGGCCAAGCATGCATAGCAGTATAGCACATAGTGCAGGAAAATAAACATAATCTTTACTAAACAAAGTGTAAAAGTGCATTCACCAGGATAGCGTTTCAATGTTCTAAGTGCGTTACCTCGTAGCGTAGCTCATCTTGTCAATAAACCATTTGGGCGTACCTCGGAACCTTGCTCAGATAATAGAGCCTACAAACACGGGCTAATCGTAGCGATCTCCACAGACGGTGCCAATGATGGTTGTATTGGGACTGGGTCCATCATCAATCGAGTACAGGGATACAGAACAGGGGTAGGGTGCTAGGCCCAAAACGATCCGTACAAAAGCCCGAGGTACATGCCCCACAACAGCGACCCAAATACAAAGAACGAGGCCCACAGGGTGGGCTATAGCTAAACGACGCCCACAGGGTAGGCTATAGCTAAATATGCTACTTCCAGGAATTGAATCGAGGTGGCTGGGTTGAGAGTATGAGATCAAGACCACTAGACCGTAGTGCATGTCGTGTCTGAGTTCCCCTTTAACAAAGGATCCGGGATCCCAATTTATAACCTACCCCCTCCCCTCCTGCGCCTACACGTGCCCCACGTGCTTTAGTCGCCACTCCCTCCTTTTCCGTACGCCAATCCGCATGTTCACCATGGTTCCGAAATTCCCGTGCCCCTTACACGCACCCCCACCCCGGGCTGCCGGGCGATCCGCCACGGGGCGCCGGGCCCTCGCCCAGCCACGCGCCAGGCGCGCTGGTCGTGGCGTCGCCAGCCGGGGCCGGCGCCCCAGCCAGCGTCCCGCCTTGGCCGTGGGCGCTGGCGACCACCGCCCCCGCGTCCCCGCACGGGGGCATCTAGCCGCCGCACCCCTAGGTCGCTCACTGGGCGCGGTATCGCCAGCGCCCCAGCCGACGACCCGCCCCTGGCCATGGGCGGTAGCGGCCGCCGCCCATGTGCCCTCGCGGGGGGGAGCGCTAGGCCCGCGCCCATGGCGTGCTGGGCGCGTCGTAGCCGGCTGGGGCCAGCGCCCCAGCTGGTTCTTCTGGCCACGGCCGTCGGCCACCCCGCGACCACCTACCTCCCCCCTCCGCCTCATGCCATACCTCCCCCCCTTTCGGTCCATGCTCTTCACCCCGGCCCACCATGCGTGCTTGTCTTCTTAGCCCAACAAGACTTGGGCCAACCTCCTTCTTTCACCAACCTACTTGGGCCAATACTTTCCCAATAAAATGGACCCCCTAGGGTTCTATATCCCCATCAATTAGAGTATAATTTTTTTGAAACACTCACAATTTTTTATAAAATAGTATTTGTTCAATACAATCTTAATCTTTTTTAGTTCAGAGGATTCGAGGTTTGATCCTGTGATGACAAGCATTTGTAAATTTTTTAAAACACTTATTTTTATCAGGTAGTATTTGTTTTATACTTTCTCAATATTTTTTCAGCTTAAAGAGGTTACAGTACCTATGAGGTCCCTATACTATAGTGTTTTGTTCAATTTAGTCATTTTACCTTAATTTTTTCAATTTAATCCATGTACTTTTAAAAGTAAACAATTAAGGACAATAACTTATATTTATATATTTATTTTGCACATATTAATGTAATATATTGGTGGTAAAAATAATTAATTTTAAATATTTATAAAATAATATATGAGTTGGCATGTAAGTACGATGACGTGACAGATATAATGTCTGTGCCACATCAGCTATTGTCCTTAATTGTTTCACTTTTAAAAATATAGGGACTAAATTGAACAAAATTAAAGTAGAATGGCTAAATTAAATAAAATTAAACACTATAGTACATGGACCTCATAGATACTTTGACTGTCTAAAGAATCACAGCCGGTCCCATCATCGGAATTTGATCATGACTCATTTAGAATGGTAATAGAGGTAGTTGGCAATTAGAGTATAATTTATGTAAGGAAGAAATTAAAACTAAAATAATGGATGTATAATATATATACACAATGTTAAGTTGATAATGGGTGGCCATTATTAATTTATTGTCCATAATTAATATGATGACATAGACACCCAAGTTGTTCAACTCTGATCTTCTCACCTGTCCGGCCTCATTTAAATTCCCCACCAATCTTACTCACTTTTTGTCCTAAACTCCATCTATCTATCTCTGTATCTGCTCTGGTCTTCCAATTAATCTCTAAGTCTGCAGATAATAACATCAAACAGCAGCTAGCTAGCTAGCCATGGGAAGATCTCCCTGCTGTGAGAAGGAATACACAAACAAAGGGGCTTGGACCAAGGAAGAAGATGACCGCCTCATCAGGTATATCAACAAACACGGTGAGGGTTGTTGGAGAACTCTTCCTAAAGCTGCAGGTACCTATTTCTCTCTCATCTTTAATTTCATCATATTATATATACATATATATTGTCAGTTTGATTTGGGTTTAGCTAGATAGGTTCTTTGTTTAATTTGATGGGGAGTACAAATTAAATTAGGGTTGCTTAGATGTGGCAAGAGCTGCAGATTGCGATGGATAAACTACCTGAGGCCGGATCTTAAACGAGGGAACTTCACTGAAGAAGAAGATGAACTCATCATTAACCTCCACAGCTTGCTTGGAAATAAGTACGCATCATATATATATCCACTAATCTAGCTCTCACACTACTGAAAATTATGAAATTTTCGACCACCTGAGTGATCTTAAATCAAGTCGAAAGCATTGTTCCGACCACTTATAGTATCCGGAAAAAACCTTTGTTGCTATTTCCGATCATTTTTGGTATCAATTTGATTTAAGATCACTTTCATGTGGTCGGAAATTCCATGATTTCCAATAGTGTCATATATATATATATATATATATGTTCTTACATTTATGTGTACGTAACATCAGATGGTCTCTAATCGCCGCTCGTTTGCCGGGAAGAACTGATAACGAGATCAAGAATTACTGGAACACCCACATCAAAAGGAAGCTCCTCAGCCGCGGGATCGATCCCCAAACCCACCGTTCGCTCATCACCTCCGCCAAACCCACCGTCACTCCACAACAGCCCTCGCCAACCACCAGCAGCGGCGGACTATCATCATCATCGTCGGAAGAAACCACATATCACCTAAACCTGGAGCTCTCCATCAGCCTTCCCCAACCGGCCGATCGAGGAGGAGCATTCCAATTCCGGAACGTGGCACGCGGTGATCTGTCTGTGTCACAAATTAGGGTTTCAGAGTGGAAATGCATGTAACTGTACAAAAACTACGCTGCCCGTGACGGAATGCAAACATTTTTCACACCCTTGAGTTTATGATAATAAATTATATATGGCCTGGATGTATTGGCGTGACATTATTACATTAATATAATGTGATTAATTAATTAGGCATCATGGTCATAGAGGTGAATTTTGGAAAGTATGACCATGGATCGAGTCTCACCCGCGGCAGTGTGCGAGCAATCTCTTATCTCAAAGTGAGGGGATTCCTTATGCGCAGTAAGCAAAGGTCTAGCCTCTGTGCGCAGTAAGCAAAGGTCTAGCCTCTGTGGTTTATGTTCAGTTGAGTTACCATGATTTACATCCTTCCAGATGCTATGTCGGCCGGGGTGGGGTTCAACCTTTTAGAAAGTTAAATTAGATTCCATGAACATACGTACACATGCCAATCATTATACCCTGCACCACGGCGCATAGTGCACTATGCGCCCCGCGCCTCCCAAACGATGTCGTTTTGGGAGGCGCAATAGGAAGTTGACATGATTATGTATATTTTTTATTATGTAAATTTTTTATACAATTATGTACATTTTTTTTATACAATAATGTACATCTGAATCAGGAAATTTTTGTGTATTATGTTAAGAGTTGATGTGTATTATGTTAAAAGTTTATGTTTATTATGTATTATGTTAGATTATGTGTATTATCTTTTAAAAAAGAGTATGTGTATTTTGTTATATAATTATGTACATTCATGTATACAATTATGTGTATTCTAGTAAAATATTACATTCATGTATACAATTATGTGTATTCTAGTAAAATATTATGTACATTTTTGAACATGAGATTTTTTTTAAGGAAAATTAACTGCCCTGGGTAGCGAAATATTAAAAAAATAAAATAAAAATTTGAAACGACGTCGTTTTGTATCTGGGCGCATAATGCAACGCGCGCTGTGGTGCAGGATATAAATTGCCTACACATGCATTGAATGGCTATATTTTGCTTTCCTCTCCGTTTGTTTGGTGGGAATTAATGGTGGTAATGACTAATGAGCCCAACAACTTGCTGCTATGATTCTGGCCTGCAGGTTTGTGTCTTTCAGATTTCAGAATATGGGAATTTAAATTGAGAATGGTCCAATATTATACGTAAAAATTTGAGCAATTCAAAAGTCATCATTGAAAGTATTAGACAAGAAAAGGGAAGGACGGCAAAGACCCATTTCCATATCAATATTGTCATTAATGAATTATTACCACGGCTGAAAATTGTTGGATTTTTTACCAACTAAAAGTGGTAAAAGATTATGTGTTCCGACCACTTTTGAAATCCATAAAAATATAAAAATTTCTCTAATTAATTGCGGCAACGTACAGATCAAAATAGTCAAAATTTCAAACAACTTTTCGACCATTTTCTTTGTGGTCAAAAAGCCTGGTCAAGCAAAAAGTCATCTTGAATCGTAATATTCCAATCATTAGTCATGATTGTTAATTTCATTTTTTTAGGAACCATAGGAAAACAATTGTCGAAATCTAATAAGACGTTGTTTCTATCGGATTTGGATAGAAATGAGGTGAGAAAGCCAGGGTTTCTTTGTAGAGAAACCCAACACACTTTAGATTTCTTGTGCAATAGGCATCTTTTGGAATTGAGACCTATTCCTATTGACTTTGTACATAATGATTTTGGATTAATAAAATTGATGTTTTTTTTTTTTTTTTTTTGGCAAGGTTTTACTACTGCCAAGTAAATTTTATTATACTGTCCCAGTTTCACTCCCTAGTCCCTACTATATATGTAGGAAATACTCCGTAATTGTATGTTCCTCGCCGGTGCTTGAAGAAAAAGAAGAAAAGATAGCTCCTAGAATCTTACTTGGAACAACTCACACGTATATGTAGTTTGCTCAACCCTGTAATAAGTTTCTGATCTAAAGTATATTCAATTTCTTTTTTTATTTTATTATTATTATTTTTTTTATAACTTGTGATTTATGACTCAATGAAATGTTCCTTGTTACCTTTTGTTGCAGGTTCAGTACAAATCTGATTGCGAGCAACTGTATGTCTGTATGGAGCAGTAAAATAAATAATTTAAAAAAAAAAAAACTATGCGTCTGTTCCAAATCAGGAACAAACGCAGATTGTATTTTTAAAAACAGAATGATTATATGCGTCCAAAGTTTGCGTACATACTCTGACGCATAGAGTTTTTTTTTTAAAAAAAAAACATACTATATGCGTCCAAAGTTGAACAACTTCAGACGCATATACTTACTATGTGCGTCCGATTACACTTTGGACGCAGATTGTTCATAGGATCTGCGTCACCTACATATATGTCCAAGCAACTTCGGACGCGAATAACTGTTTTTGTACTAGTGACCATTGGACTTCTAATTTTTTAATTTTAATTTTTATTTTCTTAAATCATGCTATTTCAATTTTCGTCTCTTTCTTCTTCCGATCCCTTTATTCCTTAAATCAATCCCTTAAAAGGAGAAATCTTTTGGTTGTTGTCAAAGTGCTTCAACATTATTGATAGCAAAAGAAAAAAAATGACATTTAATTTTTGAAAGAATGCATCGTAAAACCAATGAGACAAATATATAGAGAGACAAAATCTATGCCCTCCTCTTGGCAATAACCCTTCGCTATGAGATGAACTTTGTTCCTAATAGTAACTCCCCGTTCGTCCATTTTGTTCCTAAAGACCCACTTTGTCCCAATAACATTTTGGTGCGAAGGTTTAAGAACTAGCTCCCATATATTATTCCTTTCGAACTTATGGAGCTCTTCTTGCATGGTTGTGACCCATTCTGGATCACCAATTGCTTCTTCAACAATCTTAGGCTCTATTTGTGAAAGGAAACACGCCATCATACACTCACGAATGGACAATATGGTCATAACACCTTGCCTTACGTCTCCAATCGATCACTTGATCTTGAGGATGATCCATTAAACACCTAAAATCTAGCTAAAAAGTTGTCGGAGGAGCTTCTTCATCTACTGCATGAATATCTAGAGTTGCTTCGACTTCTTTCTGTTTGGGTAGATGGAGCTGGCTAGGCAACAAAATAGAAAACTCTTTCGTCTACCACCCTGTCGGCTTCGTATACTACTCTTTCTGCCATTTCTGATTCTTTGCTCAGCTTGGATGGACGATCCATTCGAATACTCAACTAATATAATTCCTCGGATATTTTCCTATGTCTCGACTAATGTTTCCTTAATCAAACACAACATGGATGGATTCTTCTACCACCATGCTTTTCTTGTTTAGCACTCGAAAAGCTTTGTTGACGGCGGAATAACCCACACTAGTAGAAAATTAAACATAGAAGATTGACCATAGGCCACCATTGTTGAAAGAATGGTTGCCTAATCTTAGTCCAAAAATTTGCGGTGGTAATTTTGTAAATAAGAGATCAATAGTCCACCACCATTATTAGCTGTAATGGTTGCCCATTGTATTTTTTATTTATTTTAAAAAAATTTGATTTATAATAGGCAACCATTTTTAATAGAAATGGTTGCCTTAAAATAGAACTTGTTTTATAATAGGCAACCATTTCTAATCGAAATGGTCGCCTAATATTAACCCTAGATCTACCACACGCCTAGATCTAGATCATATCGAAATCATCCACACGCCTAGATCTAGATCAGATCGAAATCATCTCACCGCTTCAACATTCACCGTCTAAAATCTTCATCCCTCTGCTCTGATCCACCGTCTACTTCGATCGTCTGACGCCGCCGTTGCCTCCCACCGCCACACGCACAACACCATCCACCGCAACGCACCGCCACAGCCGCCTCTGTAACACCCCGTGTTACGGCCTCTAACCCGAATTGATTATTTAATTACTTACCATAAAAAGAGAATTAAAATCCATTAATTAATTGGGAATGGTCCACCATAGACCATGGACCCTTATCCCTAAACCAATCCCTTAGTCCTGTAAGAAATAGAATTAGCAAACCCATACCATTCAGACCCTAATTAGGACTCTTAGATATATAAATAGGGTCATAGGAGACACCTAGAAGTCACACCACAATAGATATCACCACACAAGAATTCCCAAGAATTCCCCTATCACCAACGTAGGAGAAATCACGAAGAGGAGATCTTAGAGAAAGAACCTTAATAGTCAAGGAATCTAATTAAGGCTAAGAGGTAACCCATGTCTCAACAAAACCTATTTTCCTTGCTATAATCTTCTTCTTTGGCTCCTTCTCTATGCTTGTGTCTTGATAAATATTTTATGATGATGATGATATGATCTTGATGATTGATGAGATGTCTTGATGATTGATGAGATGATCTTATGTGTTGATCTTGATAATCTTGATGTTTATAAGAGGATCTTGATAATTGTGTGATGTTCTTGATAAATCTTGATGTTCTTGATTTTAAAGATAAACTATGATTTTGATGATTTGAATATGATTAGAGCCCTGGGTTAAAATTGGGAATTTCGTATTGTGATATTCTTGATATCATCACAAAACTTTCCCTCAGTTTATCCTTCATTAATTTAAAGAACTCCCACCCTTCGCTTATCACATCAAGGTAAGGGTGCAACACACTAACTCATTGTTACAATAAACATTGGCCATGTAGACCGACGACATGGCACCAAACAGAAAGCAATCAAGGACCCCCGAACCCACCACTCACGACCCTTTGGCTCAGACTCTACAGCAACTGACTCAGGTCGCCCAGACACTGAGCGACGTAGCTCTCCGTAACAACAATCGACCCCCACCACCACCAAATTAGACGGGAACTCAGATATCACTCGACAAGTCTCAAATCATCGGCCACCCATCTTTGCAGGAGAAGAGGACCCCGCAGTCCTCGAAGAATGGATTCGAACATTCAAAAAAATCCTCGGGTTGGTAGAACGCCCAGAAGAACGCCGTGTAGAGATAGCCTCGTTCTACTTCGGACACGAGGCCGACCTTTGGTGGGTCCACGAAGGACCCACTTACAGACAGGAACCGGGATTCAACTGGGAAAACCTAAAGACACGACTACGAGAACGATTCTACCCTGCACACGTGAGAGCATCCATGTACGAAGAATTCC